TTAAAACAATGTGTCGTTTTGGGTGGGGGGGTGGGCAACCGAGGCCTAAAGAGCGGGACTGTCACAGTGCAACGGCTCTTCCACTTTCCTCAACTCAAGAAGCTCGATAGAGCAGAAACCACAAGTATTGAAGCTCTCATACTTAAAGGCTCAACAGGTGGACAGGACATGTCATTCGTATGGATGACTCCAGGATCCCAAAGCAGATATTGTACGGCGAGCTTTGCCAGGGGAAAAGAAAGAGGGGAAGACAACAGAAGCGTTTCAAGGACAATGTCAAGGCGAACATTAAATATGACGATATACCCCCGAAAGAACTTGAGAAACAAGCACAAGACCGCAGTACCAAGCTTGCACTGGAGAACTTTGAAGGAAGACGCCGAAACATTGAAGAGGCTAGAGATAGACACAAAGTAGCAGCGGCAGCAGCAGCAGTGACCAGGGAGCTCCGTTCCAGTTCAACTGTCAGCACTGTGGATGGCCCTGCAGATCCAGAATCGGCCTCCTGAGTCACATGCGGGTGCATAGCAGATGAGGAGAGGATGCATGTAGAAGTCAAGCAGAAGTCAGGTGCATGTAGAAGTCAGGATCTCTTGGACAAACAAGAGAACCTGATACCTTCCTTGGGTTTGAGAAGGTACGAAACCTGCACCTACAGAGGAACGCCATTTCCATCATATCCCAGCATGCATTCCGTGGCCTACAAGTATCTTTCCTTGGGTGGTTGATGTTGATCCATGCCTGTCAATACACTCCTGCCGCTTACAGCACTGAAGCATGCAAACCTTTAAACAACCCGTCTTATGTTCTACAACAGGTTAGAATGTGACGAGAATCTCACACCTTGTTAATATATAATCTACCAGAACTTCGCTACATTTCTTATTCCGATGTAATTACGTGTTCATCACCTGCCAACCGGAATGTTGCTATCCACTGTGAGGAAAGTCATCATTCAGACCAACACGGACAGGTCACCACAGGGGGACGGGGGGACTACACGACCACATCATCCCCACAGAGATGCTGCACACATACACCAGGCCAGGATTAGAGTCTACCACAGGGACTGACTTTAGCACTCTTCTCGGCCCAATCATTACTGAGGATGATGACACGTCAAAGCCGTCATCACTGCTGTTGTTGTTGTTGTTGTGCCCCTCCTATTTGTGTTGGCATCGGCGTTTGTCGTCTACTTGTACGAGCGCTGTCAGGGTACGGGTCTGGCTCATCACAACACCACTGCTGAAACAGACGGTCACAGGCAGACAGCAAACTTCTGGTCAGGACAACGATGATATTGAGCCGTACGCTATGTCATACATTGATGTGTCAGGGAAGGGGGAAACGACAAGCTAATAATGCGCCATACGCAACGACCTCCGTTGCTAACATCCAGATAGCAGACGACAATGATGACATCCAAGCATGATGTTGTATCCTACGCTGATGTGTCTGGGAATGGGGGAAAATTGGAAGATTTTTTCCATACGCAACAACCTTTATCATTATGCAGACCCAGGGCCACATCTTCAGCCATATTCAGTAACCCACGATGAAGGCCCTGGGCCACAGCTTCAGCCATATGCAGTGGCCCATAGTACTATGCACATGTGTGTTCACGGCGGTCTGTCACTACGGTATTCTTTCCCATTGCTAGGGGGGTTCGCAAACGTATCGGGTTACAAGACACAAGTTTGGCCTGTTTTGGACTACCCGTAAATGACTTGAAAATAAACAAATAGTATTGAAGGGTAAATTCCGTCAAAATGAAATGAATTTTTGTGTTTACATGGGTTAAATGTTAGTTGTTGACGTTAAATTACTAATTTTTAAAAATCTCGCTCCGAAAGACGATTTTTTTCGGGATTTGCAGCGCCAGTCCGAGACAGTCCGAGTCATGTTTTTAGGCAAACACCATTTAAGATTGGCTACGTATATTACCCCAAATCCCCAATTTTTATATTTTTCGACGACTAGGAATAAGATCAAAAATCGTGTCTTAGGAATTTTTTTAATTTCTGATTTTAAATATCGTTTTTGTCGACATAAATGTGAAAAAAACGGCATTTTTTGACATTTTTCGCACTAAATTGCTCATAATTCAAAATCAAGTTCCTTTTTCGAAAATCCCTAAGACACGATTTTGGACAAACCCGTTACGGTCATTTTGAGCCGTCAATGAGATATGTTGGACTCTCCATGCTTCCAATCTTAAACGAGTTTTGCACGCATGTCATACGGCATGAATATGAGCAGTGTTTATTTAGGCTGGCGAGTACAGGCATTACGATCTTCAAGGTCACCCACGATAACGACAGTAGCTTCGTTTCATGTTCCAGCCCACTGCAAAATTAAGACAGACATGTAGTTGTCCTGGAAATGGTTTATATTTGTTAAAAGGTGGATATTTTTCTGTTAGGAGGTACACATGAAAAAAGGGATCGGAAGACACACGTTTACTGAAAATGGCCGCGAGTGACCCCATTTCGAACACCGTTCTATTCGAATTATGTCATATCGAACATGGTTCGGGTTCTACTGCAGGTGGGGAGATCGGGGCCCAGTTTTGACCACCGTGGTTGCAGAATAAATTGTAAAAAAAAAAGCAAATGATGTGTATAAACCATAAGCTATTATACATGTAAGTTTGTGTGTGTGTGTGTGTGTGTGTGTGTGTGTGTGTGTGTGCGCGCCCGTGTGTGTAGCAGTATAACTTGGCGGAAAATATATTTTCATCCCTGATTACTTAGATAAGAAAGGTAATCCTACACACGATCAGAAAAAAAAACTTGAGGACACGTTTCAAGTCCAATATGTATATAGTCAATGGAATTAAAGACAAGCGCTTTTAAGCGTTTATTCAATTTCTTAAAAACAAAGTGAAAAAAAGATCCAGTCTCAATTGTAATCCAATCTCTTTTCTTCATTCACCAGACTATTTTTGTCTAAATGCACTTTGAAACCATACAAAAATTTTCAAGTGGCATTTCCATTGAAGTTGGTGTTTGCAATAAATAATGACCACAGCAACGCACGGTAATGAGAAAAATAATTGAAGTTGGTTGTACGAATGTATACTTGTATACCTCTTAATTACAGAAACATAACACACACACACACACACAAAACGTATGAAAAGTACAATGGAATGCGCTATATCTAAACTTCCAGGTCTCGGTAGCAATCTGATGTCAATGATATTACTTATTTCATAAACAACTAACCGAGTCTGCGCCTTGCACAAACAGCAATATAAAAACAATGACTAACGGCAGGTGCCATAACTTAGCACACAATTTTTATAGATCTTACAACGTGTATGCATAACTACGCCATGTTTGTTGCTTTAATTGACTTTGCTAGTTAAAACAGTTAATAAATATACCAACCACCATATACAAAAGAACATGGAGCTTTACAAAACAGCAAAAATGAGGATCTTTGAGTGTTTGTTTTAGTATAAAATGGACCCAAGGAAAACAACGTGAACATCACGGTCGTCTGCATTTCCGTTGATTCCCATGGGACCGTGTTCATTTCTTACCAGGGTTTTCAGTCGAAACATGACAGGATTGTGTTTATCCCTACCTAGACGGGGGGGGGGGGGGCAAAAAGTGCCCGCGCCAACTTTGATGTCACCTAGCGTCTGAATGACTAGCGGTAGAACGGCCAGACGTGTTTGTTTGCAACAATTCTTTATCATAAGAATAAGATAATAATTTTTGGGTGTTGCCATGGCAACGGGTTTCTGTCCAGCATATTTTGCTAAATTTAGTAATTTTTGTTTCAACAATAGAATTTTCTGGGTTTTATGTCAAGTTACTCATGGTTTCTAATATAAATAAAATCCCATATAGTTTTATGTAAATTTTTAAAATTAAATATACATAATTTATGCAAATTTGATGACGTCATTGACCAAAATCCAAGATGGCGGACCATATCATTAGAACAGGTATATACAGGTTATTTTCATAAAAATTTCATCAATACTTTCATTTCTTTTTCCAAAAAGGTTTAAATGAAGGTCTTTAGTATGTTTACAATGTATTTTAGGCTTTATTATGAAAAAAAATATTTTTGAAAAATCAAGATTGATGATCCAAAATGGCGGATAACTTAAATTGCTGTGAACTTTATTTCAGGCATAACTCGCCCATATACAACATAAATACGGCGGACAGCCTTAAGCAAGTAAGCATTTAGTTATTTAGGAAATAACCTGTCTAGACGGTTTAGGCCAATAAAATCACATTAATGACGTCATAATACGTCATAACGACATTGTAGATATGATAAATTTTTACTAGTATACCATCCTCTGAAAATTTGGTGGTCATGCGACATACCGTTCGCGAGTTCTGAGGGGGGGGGTCAAATGAGACCTCCCCCCCCCTGTCCCACCAAGCCCAAAAAAAGCCCGGTCTACATGTATGTAGGGTTAATACAGCCCTCCTCGCATGAGACGAGAAGTAAATACCATCGCAATTTTAAGAAAAATGAAATATCACAGAATTCAGTTCTTATTTCTGTTTACTTAAATTTATCACCATCTTCTGAAAACAGCAAGCCTACAAAAGTGTGCGAATTTGGGACAGACTGTCTAGTGTCGCACCACATTCACAAAGGTAAATTCACAAAAACGTCTCACGGCGTTTGTTGCTTGTCACGCGGATTGTGTATAGCACATGGAAAATATGAATGTATTTCTTATCCAAGTCTGTTCTTCACAAAGCTGTTGTCTAAATTCATGCATCTAAACCTGATCACTCTCTGACAACTAACGATGGAGCGCTGTAAGTTCTAGCGCGCGAAAAACCGCTCGATGATAGGCCACCTGCCATTAGTCATAAAGTTATAGTGGATAAACTCATGATTACAACACAAAGGTTTTGTCACATTAAATAGTTCCTGTACTGATACACGATATACATGTTTTGGAACTTAAGCTTTTACAAAGATTTGTTTTGTTACAAAGATCACTTCCCTACAGTCTTACTCCATCTTAAAAAGGGAGCCAAATGACCTGTCCATTGGCCTGTCACTGTTGTTAGTAACGACAAAATTCATTTCGATTGGACCTGGCGAGTTTGTACGAAGGTCGGGCGTGCGCTCTGGTGTGTTGTAGACGGAGACAGGTTTGTTGCACACCATCTTCCTGCATTTGCAGCAATACACGCTGATCGCACAGGCTACTACTGCCGCGACGGCTCCAACACAGAGAAGGGCAACGTAGAGCGGCTGGCTGTACCACGGCTCCTCTGCAGATTCAACTGGAAAATAAAGTGAGTGTATAATCGATACGTTGTTAACCGTCGTGTAGTTACAATCGATCTTGACCCTAGGATATTCAAATTACAGTTTAAACGTGAACCATAATAGTATCATTATTTTTACCTTCACCAAGAAGGTTATGTTTCGTATGTCTGTGTGTCTGTAAACATGATAACTCGAAAAGGGTTAGACAGATTGTCTTGATATTTGGTAGGTAGGTAGGTCTTGAGAAGACCTCGAAATGCTATAGCGGGTACTGCAGTTTATCTCCCGGTGTTGATATCTCATGATATGTAGACGTGCTCAGGTCACGAATTTTGGATGGTTGACGTCGTGATTTTTGGTATGTAGGTAGCGTAAGTGATACTTGGATGAAATTTGCATAATTTATCAGGAAATTCTATAAATAAGCTGCATTACATGATATGACAATTCAAGCAACGAAACAAAGGCAGATATTATGTAGATGAAGACTTAATTTGCATCATTAATTACCTTTGCTAAGAAGGTTATGTTTTCAGAGGCGTTCGTGTCTGTGTGTGTGTGTGCGCGCGTGTGTGTGTGTGTGTGTGTGTCTGTGTGTGTGTGTGTCTGTCTGTGTGTGTGTGTGTGTCTGTGTGTGTGTTTGTGTGTCGGTGTGTCTGTGTGTGTGTCTGTGTTTGTGTGTGTGTCTGTATGTGTGTTTGTGTGTGTATGTGTGTGTCTCTCTGTGTGTGTGTGTGTATGTGTGTGTCTGTGTGTGTGTGTACGTGTGTGTGTGTATGTGTGTGTGTCTGTACACACAATAACTCGAGATGTTTAAATGTATTGACTTGATACTTCGTAGGTGGGTAGGTGTCAATGAGACCTGGAAATGATTAAGTTATATGATTACGAACGAGAAAAACAGGCAGATACTGCCTATGTAAATTAGGACTTCATGTGCAAAATTAATGAGAAAATGTTGTGATTTATATAGTACTGCCTAGAATTTTAAACTTAGGGTTTGAAAATTAGGTTAAACTGAGCATCATTAAGCACAACTTATTCAAATAAGAACCTCATTTGCATAATTTATGAGGAAATGCTGGAATGGCATTCTTTGTGAAGACAAAACTGTCTTTTGGTGGAGAATATGATCAACTGATATAATTCATTGAAATGAGAATCCTATTTGCATAATCAGGGGGAATAATCGATAATTTGTCCGTCATAAAGATTAACATTATTTGGCGAAGGTATCTGTATGGGATCGTGAAACCCTAGTGAGAAAATGCTATAATTCCTTAATGGAAATTTCCTGGAATTTCATTCTTGCGGCATTTGAAAGTAAAGTGAAGGTGAACATCATTAAACTTATTCAAATAATGACATCATTTGCATAATTTATGAGGAAATGCTAAAACGGCATTCTTTTTCAAGATAAGACTGTCTTTTAGTCATGTAGTGGACAATATGATCAATTGATAGAATCCATGCGATTGAGAATTCTATTTGGATAGTCAGAGAGCAAAATTAGTGGTAAATAATCTGGCGACCGTATGAGATCATAGAACTCTTGTTCTATGTGTTTTAGCCTCTACATTTCATATTGTAATCTCTGCTCTAATCTTAATTACTGATGTGATCATAACAAGCATGTTACATGGAATTTGCAGGTTTCACACTCAAGTTCTGCATTGCATCGTTTGAAATGTTCGAATAAAACACAGCGTATAATAACGATACCTTTTTCTTGGACTTGGAAGGATGACGGAATGACAGTCATTGTCTGGTTCGTGCCGAGCATGTTGCCCTGGAGTGCTTGAGTAAAAGCCGTGGTTATTCTGTCCTCGGGAATTGATTCTTCCGTCAGATAGATATCGAAGATGACGATGACACTTCCGTGTTTGAAGCCATTTACTTCACACCCCTTGTACAACCTTCGCAGTGGAGCCAACGAGAGAGCCTCACCCATCTGTAACAGAAAAAAAAAGATTGTCATATCAATAAAATGGTTTGAATAGGAATACTTTTAAGTATTTTTAAAGTATTTCTAGGATTCCGCGTTTGAAATTTTTCTTACCACCGCTTCGACGACAGTGGCAGTCCTGTCGAACTCTTCCGAGTCAGTATCCCCCAGACCAGAAGAAGTGAAGACGATTTCCTCTCCATTGATGTGGGTCACTGTCAGCTCAGCTTCGTAGGTATTTAATTCTGTAATGATGAAATGAGAAAAATGGATCAGATCTGGTGTCGTATGTTGAAATTCGTAAAAAAAAATATCATGTAATGTCATGTCATGTACATCAAAAGAGAGTTTTCCTACTGCTTACTGAGCTTGGCTACTTTGGCTACAGCTGTACTATTAGACTCACAATGTAGACGAGTTTATTTAAATGATTGGTACATACACATTATATTTTTGCGGCATCTTGCCCTTGCAACATCTTATACTTGGTCCAGAAATGAAACCAACTGAAACCGATTTCATGCGGTATATATAAACGTTAACTACATTATACTTACTACCAGGCTCGTTCAGAAGTTTGGATAGTTGTTTCTGCTAGCTTGTAAGCAAGCTTGAGAGAAGCCGGGTGCAGGTATTGGAGGGGCCTAGATCAAATCTCCGAACGCCAGCCTAACGGCAAGCAAGGCTGTTTATGATCACATTGATTTCGAATTTAAGAATTAATAGTAGCCCAGTTGCACTGCGTTCCATTATCCTATTCTTTAGTTTTGAATCGGTAGAAAGATAGGAAATTGTTATCAGCCGAAAAGTATGACATCGGATGGCGTAGAGGTAGAGCGTTCGACTATGAAGCGGGGAGAACCGGGTTCGATTCCGAGTCGTACCCGAGGCATGACTGGACATGCGCCCCGACGTTGTGCCTTTGGTAAAGGCACTTTACACGACTTTCCTAACTCCATCCAGGTGTGAATGGGTACCTAACTTCGGTTGGGGAAAGTCGTATTGAGGTCACCTTGTGGCGCCGAGTGGCAACCACTCTTGCAACAGTTCCACAAAAAATCTGTGGAGCAAATATGTGTCTTGTATTATTTGATTGTTGTGATATGTATTGATTATTATGTGATACCCTGCATCAATTCAGCCGTATGAAGGCTGCGACTGCACGAGTACTGTTTGGACAATAAAAAACAATTAATAAAATGACACTGGATTTGACCGAAAAATATGGCGTACGTCTGCACATGTTGTGTCCGGCAGACGCTGTACTGTAGTACCCCGACTTGCACTCGCAGGTGTAGCCGCCGTCATCTTCGACACATTTGGCATTCACGTCAGGACAGGTGCCGTCATCGCATTCAGTGTAGTGGTCTAATGGAAAAAAGGATTATGTGTTACATAGAGGTTAGACAAAACATGGGAAGAATCCAAAGTGAAGATGTGTTTGACGCGATAATATTATATGTACACATTTGTACACAATTTGTACACATGGCTAGAACAGCAAACACCTTTACCCTGTGTGGAACGACATGCAGTTCCCATATGAGGCAACAAAACAGTTTGTGACTGTTGCAGCAATGGTTTGTTTGTTTCATGGAGAATAAATCTAAACGTATAGTCATCTGGAAGAAAATAAATTTCAGAACATATCCTTTCTTGAAAACATGTGAAAACATGATAAATCAAAATCTACAAGTGTTTGGTATATAGAATGCATGGCTTATTTCTATACCTTAGCTTTAGAGAAGAGAATGTAAGTCAAGAAACAACTTACCACTTACGGTCGTCGAAATAGTAGTGACGTCATGTTGCTCTTCAAAATGAAATAAAATACATTTAGACTTGAATCAATACCAATGAAACTTGAATTCACTTCATTTTTGTCTCTGATACAATAAGGTGCGTCCATAAAGATTGTATAGATGGTCTAACGTTCAAACATGTCAGTAAACAATGAGACACAAAAATCTGTTGCCGGGAACTCCCATGCACAAAATAATTCATATTTGTCGAAGTTCTCGTTGGTATGAATGATAATGGCAAATAAGATGATGTTTTATTTATTTATTTATTCTATTTATTGAGCTTACAGATTTGAAAATCTGTTATCGGCTGAAGTGCATTCCTTCTTCGTTACATTTCTTTCTGACTTCACGTTTGAATAACTAGTATATATAAACACACGATTGAAATATTAGTTACCTTCACAGTTCCTCTTGTCCTCACTCAGCTGGTACCCGGCCGGACACCAGCACGTGTAACTGCCGTCAGTGTTCAAACACAGCTGTTGGCAGCCGTGGTTTATGACGACGCATTCGTCAATATCTGTCAACAAAATTCAATGTGTGTATATGACCAAAAGCACGAAGAACATTCCTAAGAGCATGTGGTACATTAAGGTATTTACTCTGGTTGTATTTAATTCGTATTCGTACATTCCACCCCACCCTACGCTAGCAGACAATGAGATTCAAAGGGTCACCTCCTTTAAGCTACTAGGTGTCCACATCTCTTCTGACCTCACGTGGGACATTCACATTCTGCAGATGCTGAACAGAGTCAGACCACGGATGTACTACCTTAGCGTGACTAAGAAGGCGGGACTCTGCTGAGGTGTTAACTCAGATTTATTTGACGTTCATTCGACCTGTACTCGAGTAAGCCAGCCCCGTGTGGGGTGGACTGCCCAAACACCTCTCGGACTCCCTAGAGTTAGTACAGAAACGCTGTCTCAGGATAATTAGGCTATCTGCTGACTCGCTCCCTACGCTAGCAAGTAGACGGGACAGAGCTACCCTGAGAAGATCTGAGAACACTTGACAACATCCTTCAGGATAACACTTTTCCCCTCTGGGCATTTATAACCAGCCCGTCAGACAGTCACTACAGTATTCGTAGGGGACGTCGGCACCGAACATTGATCAGCATAGATCATTCCAAGATCCTTAAGACTGCTCTATGCTATTGACAACTAGTTCTCTGTAGTTGTATTTAGGGGCTAATTTACTCCATTAGCCATTGTGGACATCACATTGCTAAAACTTCTCGTATATGTAATCCTAGCATTGAGTTTGTTTGAGCTGACCTGTAACACACGCTAATACATGTACGTGTCTGCTGCTCTCTCCAGAAACATTTGTATTGTAAATAGGTTACCTGATATCCCTTTATATCTTATTCCTGATATGACTTTTAGAATTGTATCTTGTATTATGAATTTTATGCTTGGATTTTAAAGGCGGATCTGTAAGCAATGACGCAATTCAGGTGTTGATTTTATATTGTACCTGCTATGTCATTGGTAATAGAATCTGAATCTGAATCATTGTTATATATGAAATATATACGCAAAATTATGTTTTAAATGTTGAAACCATTTTCGATCTTGACCTTCGTTTCTGCAACCCCTACCCTACTCACCCACCAAATATCTAAATCTATTCACAGCTTCTCAAGTTAAGCTCTCACACAGACTCAGAACACAGCCACTTCACAATGACACAACCGAAAACATATTAATCTTCTTGTCGAAGGTAAATATACAAGAGCAAGATGTAGCAGAATTCACCTTTTAAGAGTTACGGGACAGAAAGAACAGACTATTTTCCTACATACCTTCCACGCACGTCGCTCCAAGCCACCCGGCAGGGCAGGTACAGGTGAATCCGTTAACCTGGTCGTGGCAGGTCCCTCCATTTCCACAAGGGTTGCTGTCACACTCGTCGATTTCTACATATTGAATCATACATATTTATACAATTGTGGCGTTTCACACTTAATCAGTACTGCTCTTATGAAGTTATCTTCTAAAGGTAGTCGCCATCTTTAAAACACAGGATATGTCGATAAGGAATTAGGTATATTTTTAATTGGTTGGCATTGTGACAATGTAACACTCGTGGGATACTGCTCTTGCTGGTATATTGTGACCCACACAGAATATGAATATATTGTATAGAATCACAAACAAGACAACAAATTCGATAAGTCAAACAAACCTATGCACGTTCTTTCGTCAGGCCCAAGACTATAACCACCTGGGCAGCTGCATTCATAGCTTCCCTCTGTGTTGATGCAGGTGTGAGAGCATTCTGCTCGCCCTGACTCGCATTCGTCGTCATCTGGAGGTAAAATGAAGCTTGTTTTCATGAAAGTCCAATCATTTCGTTTTGAAAATGGTTATTCAGTGCATAATGATTCTTGTTGTTTGTATTATCTATCTCCATAACGTTTTATATATGCACAGATTACGAGATTATACTGCACATTATTCTATCTTTAAGAACACCTTAAAACATGTACAGGCGTTAAGGTACAACTGCTTAAAATTGTGCGTAAAGAATGGATTTTGTGCAGTGTTACGTCCAGTCTCAGCGTATACGTACGTAACGTAGTTTTGCGCACAAACTGCCACGGGTCTGATGAAACTAAAGTGGTACATTCTGACGCTCCAATCCAAAATTATGCTCATACAGTCATAGCACTATTAACACCGAATGATAATAATGAAACTGTACATGTATTTTACTGAAAGTAGCATGTTCTTTCCCGCAAGCTAATGGACCGTTCCATAAGCCACGCCCCCTTAGCAACGCCCTAGCAACTCGAACACCTCCGTCAAAATCAGCGCGGGAAGGGCCGTACCGACTGCCGCCGCCAGAATGTCGGATTTGCAGCCCCCCTTTACGGTCGATTTTTCGGCAGCGAAAAAATCTCCCAGGAGACGACAAAATTGATTAAGCTATATTTGTTGAACGGTACATCCGCAGAGTAGAATTATTTTAAGAGGGGACAGAGGTAGTTTCAGTGAGAGCAAAAGGTTTTCGCTCAATACAGACGCGGGATTGGCAGCATAACATCACACGGTAGGTGGACAAGAGTGCCCGGTTGCTGACTAACAGCCGATACATGTGTGAAACTGAGTACGTTTATCTGTAACAGGTTTTCCACGGCATTTGCTGCATGCATCACAGCTGCATACAAGCTCGGGAAAAATACGAAATGGGAAATAAAAACTCACGGGGACTCACGAGGGAGGGCGCAACTTATAAAGGGATTTGTGGTACAAGTAGAAAAATAAGCACGCAAACACGGACATAAACCATAATGATAGCTTATGAACAAATGGAAGAATAACAGAACGTCCTTAATCAACTTGAAAGTGCATGCAATGTCACAAAATTCAGTTTCACATGTAAAACAAGCAGTTTTTATCAAGCAGACATCAACTCAGTTTGCTGCTTTTAGATTTCCCGCGCTGAGTTTGACGGAGGTGTTCGAAATGGAACAGGGATTCGAAATAGGATTCGATGCGTTCGATCTGGAACGGTCCATTGCAAGAACATGTAACATAAAGGATGGACAACGGATAACAATATACATGTAGGATGGGACTACTCTAACTACTAACACTAAATTCTAACTTTCTGTGTTCGACTTTTTTTCCGAGACAGTGGGAAACGGATGATACCACCTTTTCTATAATATGTAGGGTTTGTGGTGTTAAGAGGAGAGTAGTTTTCTTTTGGTCTGTGGCTGTCCATTGTAATATTCTCCTTGGTTGTGAGTTGTATATATGGCACTATTGAAAACATATTGTTAGTCTGTACTCACCAAAACATTCTCCTGCTAGCAGCAAGTAGCCCTCCGTACATCCACAGTAGTAGCGGCCAGGAATGTTGTAGCAGACAAACGCACAGTCATGGGTACTTTCAGAAGCACATTCGTCGACATCTGCATCAGTATCACAACAAGCAAATGATAGAATATTATCAACCAACTCCGGTTATTCTAGTATCAAGATGGTTTTACGCTACATTGTCAATCGCAGGCATAATTATGTTCCAAATTACAAATACGATGACTAAGCTATAAGAGAAATATTATCATTAACTTACCATTGCAAGTTTCTCCATCGCCGGTGTACCCATCCGGGCAGTCACCGCACACGTGGAAACCGTCGATGTTGTTGGTACATGTAACCTCCGGGAAGCAGGGGTCCAGACCGCAGTAGTCATCGATGTCAACGTCGCAAAGTGTCCCCATGTGAAGATTATCGCAGAGGCAGCGAAACCCGTTCACTAAGTCCTCGCATGTACCATTGTTGCACGGACTCGACTGGCATTCGTCGATCTCTTCCTCACAGCGAGGCCCTGTGAATCCGGGACATTCGCAGATGTAGTGGCCTTGGCCGCGTGGCATGCTGGGATCGGGTATGCACACACCGACATTTTGACAGGGACACTCTATGGTGCTGAATCTGAGGCTTGTTGTGGAGGTTGCTCCACACTCATCTCTCACTTCGACGTCGAGAGAAAACTCGCTGGATTCTGTACCGTCGTCCCACGTCAGTTGTCCATCAGGCTGAAGGTCAACACCATTTGCGTCGTCGGATGTGAAGCGGAAGGAAACGGGTCTGTTCTCCGCATCCGTTGCGTTGATGAACATGGTCAAATCTTCATCCGGAATCTTCATAATGTCCGTTTGGGACGTTACAACGGGTGGCAGGTTTACTGAAAGGGGTTAAAGGTTAGTCATATCATGAGATAGTAATATAATATTAATATGAGTTAGTGGTGTTTGAGAAATTCTTAATGTATAAATCGGAGTTTGTGCAATGTTGTTAAAAGGGACTTAAATCATCTATAAGTACGTTGAATATTATGTTGTATTAGTAATATTTTATAACAGGTGACATTAGATGCAATAAATACATAAGCGCCATACCCAAACGCTCGCTGAAGGTCGTATTAGCGTTCCCTGGGATGCACTCGAAACACCAATTATTTGGATTGCTGTCCCCCTCCTCGAAGCAGAATCCGCGGATTTTACATGTATTTTCCTGTGAAAATAAATCATCATTTTATTCTATGATGTATTTGTTATCATCTTCCACTACACGTGTCACTGCAGTATACATGTATATACTTCGAACCGTGTTTCAATGACGTTCATTTCTGTTCAGTGAATTAAATAAAATTTCTGTTAGCACAGGCATACCAGTTGTAAACTGCAACGGCGGGACTATGTAGACTTGGTATAATACTGTTAATGTATTAGGCAGGGAGGCAGGGCAATAAGGCAGGAAAACTTGTACTGAGAACTTACCGCACATCGGTCAAGCTTATATGTACAGCGTGTAATCATGTCAGACTGTTAGTGAACGACTCTATGCTAACAACATGTGTACCTTCCACTAATTGCTCTATAAGCAACCGACAGCATTTTACAGTAAACTACAGCTTGTATCTAACCAGCACAGTTACAGCACGAGATCTGCAACAAGGAATAATTTTAAACTACCAAAATCAAGAACATCAGCAGCTACAAAGTCCTTCCTTTACATGTGCTCGAAATCGTACAATACTCCAGTACAATTCCAGATTACATCAGAACATCACCACATTCAAAACACTCATAAAAGACAGACTGAACGCGCAAACGGGCACAATGATTATACAGAACTGGTAGCTAATTGAAGAATGTATATCTATATGTACTGTCACTAATGGGGGTACTTTGAAGCAATAACAATACTGAACATTTTCCTACCTTCCAGAAGCAGACGGGCCCTGTGGTGCAGTCCTGGCAGGCGCTGTCATAGATGGTGACCAGTTTCTCCTCGCTGAACTCCACACCGTCGTTACTCACCGAGACAAGCATCCCGTGAGTCACCGCGCCTTCCGTCTCGTCGGGAGTTCCTTGCCAGACAGGAGACAGTGGTAGTTCACACTTGACTTCTCGAAAGCTCTTCAGAGTCGCGGATGTGTCCACAGCATCGTAGGGTTCTTCTTCCTGTATCCCTTGGACCATCTGCAGCAAAGGTTGGTTCAAGTTAACAATTACCAGTACTTCTACCAGTACTACTTACCAGGTTTCCATACAAACCTTGTCCATATAAAATTTATTATTCCTTGCTAAAGTCAGCTTACCTTCACTTGTCTCACACGGCAGGTGAGGTTCTCTGATTCTACAAGCCCGTCGGCGATCAGACTTATTTTTCGACAGGGTCGGAGACGAATGTCGCATTTGCCGTCGTTAGGAATGAACCAGGCCGTTGGTGGGGCGCCTTCCACTAGCGAGCAGTCGTCGGAGGTGAAGCCCTCATGACAGACGCACGATCCGTTAACACAGTCACCATTGTTACTGCACTCACTCGGGCACAGATTCTGCTGAACTGCAATAGGAGGCACCGAGGTGTTGTTTTCGCCTTCTTCATACATGCTGACGTTCTGATAGGCCACCGTAATGCAGTCAACTTTCATGACTTCCAGTGCATCTTTGGCAATGTCCAAGTCTTCTGTAAACTGTGAGTAGTAAAAAAGTAATCATTCTTACACTATATGGCGATAAGTTCAGATGTATATATAATGGTTTGTTTATTAGCATATAGTAAAAGAGAGAGACTTAATATTCGAAAAATAAGAAAAAGCAATGGAATGAACATAAACACAACAAAAGAATATATGCAGGGGGGAAGATGATAAGTTATAATGGTTTACCGGGATCTTCCCCCGACAATATCAATTTTTGACAAATAATAATAGTATAGTAATGATAATATATACTGTGTTGTATTCAGGTAGCAAAATACAACAGAACAAAAATAACCTTAAGTAAGAAACATCAACAATGTAAATATGAAGCGATGGAAGTTTTGATCATGAATAGTTCTTTACCTGAATGTCTGATACGCAGCCCTCCACTGGAGCGAAAATGTCCAACCCAATTCCACTACAGGCGTCAGCTACGCTTGAATTGGCAATGGTTTCCCGGCAGTGTGCCCTGGCTTGTGCTTCGGTGATCCTCAGTGTCGGTGTTGGCCATTGGGGCTCAGGTGGATCATGGTTCTCACCGAAGTCGTAGGCATAGTCGCCGCTGTCATCAACGTCGTCACTGTAAAGCTGTGATTCGTCAATGGCTCTCTTTCTCCTCCTTGCATTGTTTCCGCCTTGTTTGTCTAGCTGCACTTCAGTGTTGATGCCGTCTATGGTGTTCTTCTCGGCATTGTTTGTTGGACCGCATTTGATATTCTTTCCTTTCGAGCAGGTGCAGAATGACACGTCTGTTTCATCTGGAACAACGTCAGGGGTTCTCTCGAACAGACTCTCTCCCTCTGGCACCCTGCACAAAGTAATATTAATCATAATAAAGCAAACTCTTTTCCCGACCCAGTGCTAAATAATCAGAATTTTAGAAACAAACGCAACCATAAAGAGATATCGATTCCACTAAGTTCATTGTTGATTTTGATATATACTTAGTTTAGCTTGCTGTTGGCTCGTGGCGAAAGGGTAAACGCAAGAACATTGTTTTTATATGAATGATTGATTTTGAATTGATGGATATCATTTCATTACCAAACGCCGCAACAGCGAATTGCTTGGGGAGGGGAGTCAGTCACATATGACGAAGCTCACTTACTTCCAAAATGCTTGATTCTTATTTTTGTTTAGATTATGTGTTAGAAAGAGGTTGTAAGATTATGTAGTAAGGCCACAGCAAGTAAATTTTATGGATGATATCAATTCGATAGGGCAAAAAAACAACAACACAAGAACCTTTCAAATTAATTTTCAGGTCAAAAGTCTTGTTACTTAAACCACCGTAGGTTTTTTTTGCGACGAATCTTACCGCATGGAAATTGTTTTTAGTTTTCTGAGTCAACATGTTGACAGAGGCAATTAAAATGGCAGCAGAAAACTCAAGCAAACATATTACCCGGAAGAAAAATCGACAAGAAATGTGTTAAAACACCGGTTGAAATGCTGGGGTCAGTTTTTACTCCACTGGACCACCCATAAACTTTCTACGATAACTCAATCAAACATGAGCCAAACATAGTAAAAATGTGTGAAAAGGGGTATAAGACATGTATACAAACAAACTCATAGAAGAAATTTCGTTTTCGCCAAGAAAAAATGTTAAAATGGCATATATTTATATACGCCCGGGGTTAGTTTTCACCCCATACTGTGAGGTGAAAAAACATGCTATCACTACTGAACAGGTTGTATTGAACAGTATTACCTGTCCTGTAGATGTGTAAAAACCTAAATTTACTAGCAATTCTAGCCGGAATTGGATGCGATGGAACATGTCAGTGTCAATATTGTCTAAATAGATATTTTAGGCTCAATAGCTGGTATACTGTTCACACACCCAATGGAATCACGTTTTGATTGGATCTGATAAAGAAGATTTCGTATTTTTATGTCAAACAACCTTCTTTTCACAAATACTTAATTACCTCCAGTCTCTAGCAAAAGTGTTGACGTCGGAGGTAGTTGCTCCATCTTGCATTTTAAAGTCGTTGCCTCTGTTTCCATCCCAATCTCCACATAGACCCTCCGTTTTTCCCTTGTCCATGCCAAGCGCGAAAAGGTGGACATTCATGCCCCAGTAGTTGATGCTAACTCTGACAGATGTCCCAGAAGGCATGCCGATCTGAGGATGTTGTGAAACATAAAAGCAAATACGGTGTGGTAAACATGATTAATGAAATATTGGTTAAGATTAAATAAATGCTCAACCTGTAAAGCGACGGTCACAACCCGCCGTGCGTGCTTTTTGTCCGTACGTTTTTTGGGAGGCTACGTCTGCTACGTTTTTTTTTCTGAAAACGTAGGGTGACCGGCCGAGGGAGTACGTCACTCGCACGGTTGCGCAAGGTGTACGTACGTGGTCTGCACGACACGCCTGGCCGCCATCGTACGTTGCGCAAGTGGTAAGTGAGTTGTACGTGCTTACAACGCACGATCTCTGTGCGATTGCAACGTTGCCGCGTACAGGCCGTACCTACACGTGCGGCGCACGCACGGTTTCCTTACTCACTCGCACGTCGTAAGTGCGTGCACCTCCTGTTAACTTCATCATCACTAGCCGCCCTGGTGTCTTCCGCGGTCCGTTTCTTTGGGTCTTGTCTGGTAGTCTTCTTCTGAGCCTTCCTGGGCATCTTGGAGACGAGTTGGCAGTCGCCCGTCAAGTCGTCTTTATATACTTTAGAAATCAGCTGTGTTCTGCGTGGTCATTGAGCAGGTCAACTGGGAAGTGAGGAGTAAGCACGGATGATGCAAGCACCGTGCGTGGCACGCACGTGCTTCGTGCGCTGTCCGTACAGCAATTGCACGTGCGAATAGTGAAGTAGTGAAGCCTTAACAACTGTTTGCCAGCCTACATGAGAGAGATGTTTACATACTGTAGTGATAGGGCAGTATAAGAACCACGCGGCAAAGTGTATCTGACCTTTTGTATGTGCCAAGGGTTCATCGGGAAGTGTACAGAAGATCGATTTCCTACCTACTCAGGCTCAGTACTGTGGAATAACGTATCAGCTGAGCTGAGAACGGCCACGTCAGTTGCAGCTTTTAAATAACAGACTGCGTCGAGTCACTTAGAATGACCAAATTTGTGAACTAAACTTGGATGTTTGATACTGATGAGATATATGAACCGAGATAGTGTTTGGTTTTTGTAATACTTTGTATATACTTATATTGTATTTCTACGACTGGTTGTAACTGAACTGAAGAATTTGCAAAAGACCCCTGACCTATCTCCCCTTGACCACTTGAAAAACGGCTCAGGCCGAAGAGTTTTACTGCTACATACATGTCCCGTTCCTTTTTTAAGGTTAAATAAAGGTTGAAAAAAAAACAAGGCGACTACAGGAGGACAAGGGTTCTTGGGCGACTCATTCGCAGTAAGCAACTTCCGACCTCAGTATCAGGTTGAGGATTGTGGCTATGGATGTTCTGATCTTTTAATTGGGATATTAATTATTTAAGATTAGATCTCTGCAGTAAGATCACTGCAATACAGTAGGATAGGTTTAACCAAACTGTTGAACATATCAATAGATAGAGGGATGGATGGAGGGATTGGAGTTTGATGAAAAAAATGGCTTCTATCTAAAAGCCGTAGAGCCTTCAATCTTAACTGTTTAATAGCACGGCTACTGTCCACCCCTAGTTCTGAAACTCTCATGGTCCAAAAGACAAAAGATTGTCAAACTTCAATGAGTGATTCATCAAGGCAAAGATCTCATGACAGTAAGTCCAGACAGCTCTGCATGCAATATGAAAATAGAGGGCCGAGAGACTAGGGAAGTTGAAATATAGTTGAACCAGAGTTGAAATAGCGAGCGAAATAAACTGACGTTCCCTGCTAGTCCTTGATGATGGTTTCTGGAAATCTGTTTCCCATGTTTGTCATCTCTTCGTGAGTCCTCCACGCAGCATCCAAAGAACACAAAAGAGTCTTATCTTTAAGCAGATTCGATGGGGCAAGGGGATTGATAATTAAAGCTGGCCACCTGTATTAAGTCCCCTTGCCCCACTGAATCTGCTTAACCATTGCAAGGTTATTCAGTCAATGAAAGAAGAAAATAGTGCCAACTTTGTTATCTGTCGTTGAGAAGATAATCTTGTCAATAGTTTGCCATTCCTTTTTTTAGAACAGATGGAAATCAATGCGCGCGCGAATGTCACCCATAAATTAAATCAGTGTGGCGTAAATGCACTTTGAAATCCCATAAAAGTAACGACATTAATTATGTGGTGAAAATATCAAAATGACAATCATCTCACAGAAAAATCCTTTCCGCTGAAACTTCTGTAGACCGCAACGCCCGGAGAAAGCGCCTGCCCGTGTGCTGTCTTCTCTGTTATCTTAGGGTAAACGCCTTGGTGATCTCCCCAGTCCGTGTGACAGAGGTCGATCATTACAACGTCATTCCCCTCACGTACAGCAACCCCGCAGTGGCAGGAAGCCCTCCATGCTCCACATACAAAGGTACGTACATGAACCTGTCGTAGGATTTGAATAAAGTAAGTGTTGTGTATGTATCTGTTTGTGAGTGTGTTTGTGTGTGTGTGTGTGTGCCTGTTCGTTCGTGTGTACGTGTAACTGTGCATTTGTGTGCGTGTCTATGTGTGTGGGTTTGAGTTTGTGTGTGCACCACCATTGAGAAACTATTTATGACAAATATTTCTGAACGAATTTTAGACCTGCTGTAAGAATGTAACATATGTAAAGACAACATTACATCAATTGACCACGGCGTTGTCTAACCTCAAAATTCCTCTCTGTGTTTCTGCTGAAGACAAACTGTCCAACCAGAAAATGCGTATAATATCTGCGAAAAGAAAAAAAGAAACCTTTAGATTGATATTTCGATTATACGTGCGAAAGTTGTATCGTTTGGCATCATTTACTACTGAAGAAGTATGACATTGTATCATTTATGCACATCGGGCTAAATTATGGAAATTATGCTCTTATTTGCAAAGCAGGTAAATAATAGAAATATTCCACTTATCATAGATTACACATATTACATGTATTGACGTCACATTGTTTAAGATACTGGACTTACCACTTTAATATAAGTTCTTAGAAAAATGTACTTTTCATTCATCTTTGTCTAAGTTTTACCTACATGCCAAAAATGATGAAAATCCGTTGTCACTACTTATTTTTATTATCTTATTTTTAAGCTGCTGGGGGCCGGGGCAGACATACAACACTTTTGACATAAATAACTTTATTGCACAGCAATTGTACAAGGTACAAACTCTACCGTCAATAATCGACGTTGTCCTTTTTCTTATTAAGAGTCTTATAAGGTTAAACTTCCTCATGTTGGTTTCAAATTTCAGACTGCAGACGGGTATTTCCAACACTGAATGCATGAACTGTGCGGGAGGGCGTGATGTCGATCAACGGATCGTGAAAAGCAGACATTCTTTAACGGAATTTTTTTTTAAGTTGGCAGTAATTTTTTTCGCTAATTGGGTTGACCTGGGATTGACGGTAAAAAATTTCGAGCTGGCTAAAGTCCTGAGTAAGATTAACCAACATTCTAAATATAATCACAATCCACCCAGACCTTATGCTGAAGACAGATACCACTAACCTCAAACACACAGATAGACAGCAAAAAAAAAACGCCATGCAAGTAAAGCAAAATGCGTTTCAATTTGGCGCCATCCATTTTTCAAAGTTACTTACCTGCCATCAAATGTCGTATAATGTGGGTCCGTCACCCCTTTGCATTGACCAGTTGGAGAATCTATCGTTACAACCTGTAAAACAGTTTGATGCTCAATGAATAACGACTTACTACATTCATGTTTTTACTTAGATGGTAATCCACATAACTAAATCCAAATTTAGCTTGATGGCTAGATTAGGTAATGGGATGGTTAGTTCAGTAAACAGTTACCCTAAATGTCCTGTGACCATATCAGCAGTAATCCCAACCTGTGCGTTAATCTTACCTGGATACTCTCTGGAGCGTAGCCATCATAGATGTGCGGAACCTCCTCATTGTAACTTTTAGCGTGTTCATCATGAGGATGCCAAATGTTAAACTTTTCGATAGTACCGAACTCCACTGCAAATACGTGGTCTCCGTCATCTTTTTTGTCCTGTGTGGCCAGGATGTGCTTGCGGTCGGCGTAAGCACGGTTTATTACTGGATTCCAACTTTTGGCTTGGATGTCTATCCCACATGTCTCTACGGTGCGGGCGTCACGATCTACCACTAGGTCAATACGAATACTGCATGTCTTATGTTGGTTTTCGAAAGTGCTGCACACGAAAGGGACGGTCGCATACAAGTTAATATACTCTTTGGTTTCGTTATTTTCAGGGAGAGTGAGACGACCCTTTTCCGCCTGTAATAACAGAACAAAGTCATTATCTGTAAATAGAATCTGACGAGACATACATGTAAGAAAAAGACGTACTTGTTTCCTATGTGTTTGATGCTAAAGAACATTATAGGAAAGTTAGACTGTTCTCAACCCCAGAAAGTACGTAGATTACTGTGGTAGAACTGCTGTAACATGTCCTAGGTCATTGATATGTGTACCTCCATGAAAAATGGTATAGTTTTTGGTCTATCTGTTTGTATAATGAATAATAGAATGCAACGGTTCATTTGACTGTATTAAATAATGGAAATTTCATACTAGTGACCTATAATTTGAAAGTCAGATGGAAGCAAACATATCTATGTCATTTGCATAGTTCATGGAAAATGAATTTCTACGCATAAAATATTTGTATTATGAGAAAAGAAAACCACAGAATATATAATTATCATGCTATTGCTAATTACAAACTTATTTCCATAATTAATGAGATAGATTGCAACAACAAAATGGGATCTCTGAACTGTTGTAAAATAGACTAATAGTGTTGGTAGGTAAAACGCATGATTCTTACCGCAATGCCTGCCCAGTATCCGTTACTGTGAATCTCCTTGCTCCTTTGCTCAGGTGTGTCTTTCCAGTATGATTGTACGACACAGGAAACCTTGAATAAAAATGGTGTCATTACTGCGCATGCAGGGACTAATGAGCTTGTACATTCTTTATGAGACCCCATGCAAAACACAATATATATCAATAAAGCTTCATAGATTATTCATCAAGAGGTTTATGAGCGTGTACAATAGTAATTTTCTTGTCAATTGATTATTTTTTCTCCTGATTTGAATTAAGTCATGTTAATTTGATTGATTTACTATAAAATGACATAGAACAATATGTTTGTTCTTTGACATTTTGATACAATTTGTACTAACAATAAAAAGACATTCTTACCGTCTTTCCCATCTTTGAGTCCCAGTAGTCTTCTTTAACTACCTTCTTCTTCTCTATCTTAAAGTCACCCAGGAATTTGGCATCCAATTCAATCGTCTTCTTGTTTGGGGTCAGCGGCGATTTTGTCACGTCATTCACTTCGTCGTATTCAGTGTTATCGAAGAGGAACTTCACAGCAAACCTTGCCCCGTCGTCTTCTAGCTTGTTGTACTTGATCTCACATGTGAAGGTGACTTTCACCATGTCAAGGTCAAGTTTAGGTGGACTGAGCTCTGGGTCACCATCCATGATCGGTACTTCCTCTGTGAAGTTGAGGTTTACAAAATGGTTTATGTTGCAAATCTGATAAGCATACGAGGGTGGATCAAAAAGTTCTCGACCTCATCTAGAAAACGTCATGGCAGAAAAGTTTTTCTTACACTATGTTTCAACATGGTCCCCTCTAACTGCAATGCACTTGGTCCAGTGATGTTTCAGGTTTGTTTTCCCCTTGTGGAAGAAGGTTCCATTTGGAGCCCCCAGATAGGGCTCAACTGCACTGATTACGTCATAATTACCATCAAAACGTTGACCACGTGAGTGGAACTTGAGTTTAGGAAACAGGTAGAAGTCCGACCGTGCTAGGTCAGGTGAATTGGAAGGGTGTGGTTAGACTTCAAAGCCAAATTCGTTTGCTGCTATTACTGACCCCTGTGCTGTGTGGACAGGTGCATTGTCAGCACGCCAGCTCAGTGCTTTCCTCTCCTTTTCTCTTTGACTGTTGTCCTCAACTGTGATGCTTTAACCCCTATTCAATAATGATTACTCCCTTACTGTCCCAGAAAACAGAGGCCAAAACCCTTTCAACGGATGAAACTCGATAAAACATCTTGGGGGCCGGGAAACATTCTTCATTCATTGTTTGTTCTGTTGTTTTGATTTGGGAAAGTTTTGAACCCATGTCTCATCTTGGGTGAACATTTTTTAGGTAATTGCATGGATTGGGCTGAATTCGTTCCTTGAAATGTCCAGCCTGTTTCACTTCTGATGTTCAGAAAACATTCTAGGCACCCACCTTACAGACAGGTTGCTCATCCCCAAGGTGTCTGACAAAACATTGTAAACTGAGCCATAACACAGGCCAAAGACTCTGCTACATGTTGGACAGTCTCACATCTGTCATTCACTACCATGTGATGGATGGCCTCAACTGGATTGTACGTCCATGGTGCTGATTTGTGGCATCCTGACCTATGTTCATCTTTTGTGCTCTCCTTGCCGCGCTTGTAGCTAGCAACCCACTTCTTTATATTTGAATAAGAAGTGGAATCATCACCATGTGTCTTGACCATGTGTTCATGGATTTCCTTAGGAGACATCCCTTTTTATCGATACACTTGTTCACAGCACATGCTTCTGTTGCGGCCATTTTGTGATTTTGCCCTCACCCACCCCATTTTGACGGGGCGTCATGTGTTAATAAATGAATATAAAAATTTCCATTTTTGTGGGCAGTGATGTAAGACATAGTATACTGTTATACTAAAGAATAGGAGTTTGACCTTTATTTTCTAGGTGAGGCCGAGAACTTTTTTAACCAGCCTCGTATCACCATATAACCGAATATGAGTAAAATAAGACTGAAATCCGGGAAGTATGGAAACCTTGGCTTCTTCAATTCCTGCATGCCAACCACCATATTTCTGCTAACTCTAGGAAAAAATTCTATGGTCTTCACGTTCGTCCCAATTCCTCTCCACTTTTGACTTCCTGTAATTCTGCCCGTCACCCCCCTCCCCCCCCCCCAACACACACACTTCTAACTTCCTCTGCGAACAAACAGATACACAAACCAACAGCTCATTCATCCAATTCCTTCCTACCCAGGACATTGAATGACGAACGTGATTCAAAGTTCTTTCCAAGGAAAATTGTGACGTGCATGTAATACTCAAATCATTAGCTATTTAAAGTAGAACTCACCTATACATCTCTGGTAGAAACTGCTCCATGTCTTGTTAGCTTCACACGTCACGTAATCGCCTAAAACAGAAAGCGTCAAAGGTTTGGTAACATCCTAAACTGCGTAGTGTATTGCGTTTGCGTTTTATTGTGTGATCAGCATCCATCAGAAGGCGTTGATTGATTGTGATAATATTTAGGTAGACCTTAGAAGGGAAAAGGTCAGGGTCAAATCAGGGCCTACTGGGTGACGAACTTTACAATGTAGCCGAGCAGTTTTTATGTTTTTTCCTAGACATATTATGGTCTTGATTGGGGAGGGGGCTGCTGATAGCTTTTCATGTCAGAAACTAGCCTCTACCAGGCTTGAGGAGGCGGCTGGAAAGGGTAGAAATCGGCCAAAATATAGAGATAAGCATGCCAAGGGAGTTTGGCCGTTGAGAGAACAGTTCGCCGCCCCACAAGGAGCGGCGAACTGTCAGAAACAGGTGGTGTGGGTTTGGTCCCCCTAGCAACTTGTTCTGGAACTACGGGGGACGTTTTACCATACGTTAAATCTTTCAACGGGAATGAGCGAAAAAGGACATTCGTGCTTTTCCCTTAGACAGGAAACTTTACAGGGAGCAAAGAGAGCTCTCAACTTTAACATCTTTCAAAGACTCCCTGTGAGTGGGACTTGAGTGGCATATGATTTTTTATTGGTATGTATGTTGAATTGAAATTGTAATGTATATTCTTTTTTTCCCATGTATATTGTGTATTTTATGTAATCACGGTGGTAAAATCTGGGCTGCAAAGTTCCCACATGTCATAGAACCAGAACTGTGTTCGATCGTGTTCGATCTGGGCAATTCGAATCGAACCCGCGTTCTATTTCGGGGTCACCTGCGGTCATTTACAATAAAGCGGCAAAACAAGCCTTTCTGCCTCCGTGCCTTGCAACAGATAAAAAAAACAACACTTTTCTATAGATACAATTTCCTGGACAGTACATGTCCGCTATAATTTTTGGTGGGCATGTAACATGTAGCGAAGCTACTGTCGTATCCTTGGGTGACCTTGAATACTGTAATAATTCTTTACACCAGTATGAATAACACAATGCAGACTTTTGGTCGACATGACATGTCTGCAAAACTCGTTTTAACCTGCAAGCATGGAGAGTCAAACATACCCCATTTACGGCTCAAAATGACCGTTACGGTTGTCCCGAAAATCGTGTTTTAGGGATTTTTGAAAAATGGCCTCGATTTTGAATTATGGGTAATTTAGTGCGAAAAATGTAAAAAAAAAATCATTTTTTCACCAATATGTCGACAAAAACTAGACTTCAAATCAGAAATTAAAAAATCCGATTTAAAAACACGATTTTTGATCTTATTCCTAGTCATCGAAAAATATAAAAATCGGGAATCTGGGGTGATATACGTAGCCAGGTTTAAACGATGTTTGCCTAAAAACATGACTTGTGGTCGGAAACCCGAAAAAAATTGTCTTTCGGAGCGAAATTTTGAAAAATCAATGATTTAACACAACAGCTAATATTAAAAGGATGTTAAGGCAATAATTTCATTTTAATTTGACGAAATTTACCATTAAATCCTTTTTGTTTATTTTCAAGTGTTTTACTGGTAGTCCAAAATAGGCCAAAATAGCGTCTTGGAACCCGATACTTTTTAAAACACGTCTACCAATGGGAAAGAATACCGTAGTGACAGACCGCCGTGAATACTATGTAACCCCAGGGATACCTGAAAATCCGATCAGTTAGACCTGAGTGTATTACTCTGGTTATATAAAATAAATGAAATGAAATGTACACCCAACCAAATGCAAAATATCCAAATGTCACCCTACGTTACATGAATAATGAGAAAGTTCTAAAACTTCAGTGTTGTACATTTAAAACATATAAGTAATTTATGAAAGGTGGAACATTAGGCCAAAGCAAGTAAATTTATGGATGGCATCCTCCACAGACTCCAAATCTAATGCGAGCGGGCGAAAAAAAACAACAAGGCGGGCCGAAAAAAACATTTTAAAATTTTTACTCAATCATTGTATAAATGGTTTTACGCAGCCAACATCACATATCACTTCATCAAAGTAAGAAACAAAACATTAAATCAGACCCTTTTCTTGTCTCCTCTCTTTATAGTTATCTGCCATAGACCTTCCGGCTTGTCAACAGACATCTTTGCACATTTTCGGCATGGTGACCACTGTCAGAAGGCAACAAAATTTCTTTTTTTTTTCCAAAATCAGGCGAAAATTAATGCGCGCGCTGATGTCTTCCATAAAAATTACTTGCTGTGGCCTTAACAGATAATTATTATGCAATTAAGGACCTAATGTCAAAATGCGTAATTCATTATTAGTAAATGATGGGAACATGCAGTAGTTAGTTAGTTAGCATGACTGCATTTATTATGTAATGTACAGATCAGTTACATAACTAATGGTAAAATGTTGTATGGAACCAAGGGAAATAATATGACTTTCATGTATGAAATACGCATAATTAATCAGGAAATTCTTTAAGTTTGCTTAGATCCAAGATAGGACTATTCAAACTTGCGACTTATAGATATAATTGGCAGATATTGATTATGTAAATGAAGACATTGATAAAATGCCTACTACTGCTATTTGCATTATCAATGAGAATGCTAGAATTTATACTTACTAAATTTGGAGGTGACGGTGAACAACATTAAACATAACCAATTCAAATTAGAACATACAATCAAAATCCAGTATAACGGACCGTATCATTAGCTCTAATAAAACCATTTTTTTAAACTACACTACACAAAGTGTATATATGAATATCGATGGTCCCTTTGCATCGTGTCCCTTTGCAACTTCAAAAGATTCGATTTCAAAAATTCAAGATTAACGATTGAATATGAATTACGAAATTCTATTACGTTACATTAACGTCACTGGTGTTGCCAGCGGCAAGATAAGACTTAGTAGACCTTAATATTACCCTAATAGATACTTTTTATTGAAGTTTGGATGTATTCCTGAGGAAAACCCATTTCGACGGTTTTAGCCCAAAATTCGCTCGTAATGAAGCTCAAATTACGTCATAATGACAATGACGCTCATATTACGTCATTAAGACACCAAAATTGTTATCTACTACTATCATTTTACTACATTCTCTGAAAATTTCGTGGTCCTATGATTAGTGATAAGATCGTCATTGGATAGAAAATATGATCACCCATACATAAACAACGGGCAACCCACATCTATTTTTGATTAAACGACCCACCCTACGTCTGCATATAACGGGATCCGGCCAGACCCGCTATTCAAAACCATAGGCCATTCCAATTTGCCTCATAAATGTAGGGGTGAATTTGAAATGTTACATTGACCACGAAAACAGCTACGGTAAAAATAAATACACGTGCATCATAACGGTCATGCCTGGAGACGACGTATAAATTTACATTAACAAAGGTAACCCTGTGTTCTGGCTTCGAACACGAAAAAACGTCTATAACCACAATACTCTAAAATTGGACGCTTTTTTACGCGCTTGAATGCACGGCGCTCTATCACTAGTTGTCGGGGAGTGGTTAGGTTTTGGTGAATACATTTTGAGAAAATTGATATAATCTGGAAAAATACTGTGCACTTTGGAAATTAAATGTAAATCTTAGAAAAACTAAAATTATTGTATTTACAAAGGGTGGCTGTTTACCCAAAAATTGCTCGTTTTTATTCGACAATCATGTAGTTGAAATTGTAACGTCACATACTTATCTCGGCATTATTGTGAACTCAGCCGGCACGTTTAACCCTCAACAGTACACCTTCCCGGACTGATTAATCTGTACACCTGGGGTCCGCGCGGACCCCAGAACAGTTTTTTTGCTAATTTTTAGAAATTATTAACATGCTACCAGCTCAATTGTTTTGCAAACTGATGTGTGAACCTCTGTGTCCACATTACATACAAAAATCATACATTTTGAACTTTTTCTATTTTTTGGTGAAGAAAAGAAGACAAGAAGAAATACCCGATTTTTAAACCCATTTCAGACTGAAGGGGCTTTTGAGGCCCAACTTTGATCTCAGATAGCGGCTAAACGGCTTGCGCTAGAAGTATCAAATTTGGAGACCTTTCCTAAAATGTCCCTGGAAAAAAGTTCATATTAGTTTAATACTAGTAAGTTGATGTTTTTTTGTGTTGCCATGGCAACGGGTTTCTAGCAGGCAGTTTTTTTTAAATAGAAGTAATTTTGGTTTAAACATAAAAATTTTCTGACTTTTATATTAAATTACACTTCTTTTCCAACATTAATAACATCTTACATAATGAAATATAAGTCAAATCATTTAATATGCATAGAATATGCTAATTTGATGACGTCATTGGTCAAAATCCAATATGGCGGACTATATTATTAGCTCTGACGTCATATGACGTCATAATTACACCAAAGTTTTCAAAATTTAATTCTATTACTACACCATTCTCTGAAAACTTGGTAGACATACGATGAGTGCATAAAAACATAAAAAAACGGAAATAAGGTAATGTATAAGAACGCCAGTGTATCCATTATGATCGAAAGCCGGCTGGGGTCCGCGCGGACCCCAAAAGAAAATCAGATATAATTTTTTTTATAAATGGTAGAAACGGAGTTTTCTGCACTGTATTGGGAGACAACTTAGTGGGTGACAATTACCTAAAATTTCAGAAAAAAATCTTTAGAAACAAAAAAGATATTACAGAATATATAGTACCGGGGTCCGCGCGGACCCCAGGTGTACTGTTTAGGGTTAAGGCAAATAATAAGTACTTGAGTTGCAAGGGTTTGAAGGCTTTATTCGGAATTATAACAGTCGCTAGACCAAGACAACGCCCCTCTATCTGTTAAAGACAAACTTTTCAACGCTTGTGTAAAACCTATTTTACTTCACGGTTCAGAAATTTGGGGCTCAGCCAAAAGCCCTAAATTCTGCCCCATTGAATCCGTCCACCTTAAATTCTGTAAACAGTCTCTGAACGTTCCTAGATCAGCCTGTAACCTTGCGTCAAGGGCGGAACTAGGGAGGTA